CTTGAACTGAAACAGTTCGATAGAAACATTTCGTGAAGTTTAATAAATGACCTTTAGTATCGTGTAATTCTTCTTTGTAGTGTAACCACCATTTCACATTAAGATAAGACTAACTATACCAGGAGCCAGGAGCAAATAAAATCTTTATTAAATAAATCCTACAACGTAAAAACTGAAAAAATCAATTTATCTTTGGCTTCTTTTCCGCGGTTTGCAATTACTTCCTTAACTAAATAATTAGAAGAAGTTCTTAGAATTACAATTAAAATTCAAACTTAATGAAAGTCGAGTAACAAAAACGTAACTTTTACAGACTGCATTTGAAATTTTATTAATTAGTTACTTGAAGGTAATATTATCGGAAGAGAGGATTCATTTTAATGAACTAGAGATGTTTTAAATACTACAGACTTTATTCGAAGGTAAGCTGGAATACGGTAAAAGAATTTTATAAAAATCCGCTTTTTCGACTTATTTTAAGTTTATTATTAGAGTCCGCAATTTATGCCTGCCATTGTACTGAACATTCGAGTGTTCTTTGTGGCAGGTTCTTGAAAAATCTTACCGCTGTAAGAAAAAAGAGTCATTTCGTATAAACAAAGCGCAGCGCTTTTAAGAATTTGATTGAAATACTTGAAAATACTAATAACGAGAAATGATTATTCAAATTAAAAAAAAAATGTTAAACAATCGTCTTCTTGCATACATACTTTATGCACATTAGATTGTTATTTTTTTTATTTATAAATATGGATAACTAGCTGTCAAACGCGACTCGCCCTCGCGGAATTAAAAAAAACTTAATTAGTAGGCTATATGTTGTTCCAGGCTATGTTCTACGTGTATGCCAAATTTCGGCGATATCCATGTAGGTGTTCTGGAGATACCTTTGAATTTCCATCATTCCATCTATCGTATATTCGTATTTATAACATCAGTAAGATTATTCCAAGCTTTTCTTTTTAATTCTTAACAGTGGTAGAACCCGCTTTAACATCTTCGCACGTATTAGCCTGTCTCGTACGGTGAAATACCACGACCATACAGAAGACAGGCGTTTAGTGGAAGCAATTCCGCGTTTCGTCTGATGAGTGGGCGTCCCGGAGGCCTAATTTAGTCCTCTTTCCCTTTCCACGCTTTTCCTTATAAGGAAAGTAAGTGGAAGTGGACTTTCCGAATGAGAGGATTCATGGAAAGGGAAAATTATTTTTTCTGTGTATCCTCTCCTTCGTCGGTTAAAGGTAGGCAACGCATATGCAGCAGCAGTCTATGTGAAACGGTCACTTCGCTATTTCAGCGATTCCAGGTGGCCGCTCGTTTGCCACCTTATGATATAAAAAAACCTAAAAACTAGTTTAAAATGTTAAACATGTTAATATATTTCCGACACGCAATGTTGGTCTTTATTAATTAACGTGAGTTTTTAATTTAGTATTGCAAACTTTTGCAAAGCCCGACTTTATTGTTATAGCAAACTGAGTTGGTTTTAATTAAAATAACTTTGATACCGCTATCTAAAATAGTTTTCGGGTTAAACGAAAAATTTACGAGTAAAAGCATTACAGATATGTTCATAAATATTAAATTAGTTCATGTATAATTTCGTAACTACTATCGCGGGTTTCGAATTTTGAAACATTTGCACAAAAAACAAAGATGTCGTCACTTGATTTTCCGGGGGGCGGGGGGAGGGGCAGTATTTTCTTTTATTTCAAATGCTAATTTTATTAAATTGTCAGCAATTATTAACAAGTAGTTTTATTTCGAAGCAGTTCAGATATATCATTAATTTATTCGTTTTTAATTAATCGGAACTCCTCCTTTTCGACGATCATAAGAAAGATAATTGTTAGTTATCTTTTTTTACGACAATGAGTAGACCGATGATATTTTTTTTTACGGGTTTGTATAAGTAATATATTTATTATAGTATGTAATGATTTAATATAGAAGAAAAAAACTATATCAATTTATTCGTGTAGAAATTATAATGTAAAAAGTATATTACATTCATTAACTTATTAAATATATTCACGAAAAGAAAAAGCTCAACAAATAAAACTACCTGAAAGTATTCAAAAAGTTTTATTGAAAAAACATTTTACATTTAAACATGACCATTTGGAGCGACGCCTCTAAACAAGTTACAAAGTTATTTTAACTCTGAACCACTCTTTCAATGAATATTATGAAAAACTTTTTTTTTTAATATGAAAAGGGACTGAAACGAAATGCGATGCAACTTTTAAATTGCTTGCTAGCTTATTAACGTGGTCTGTAACTTTGTCTGTCTAACCGTTTCCATTGCAGAAACACTCACACAACAACATGATCCCACTCATTCTGAGAAATCGGAAATAACGATACGATTCTGATTAGTTGCTTCGGCTTCGGAAACTCACGATTAAAAGAGAACTTATATCCGTGGATAATTCTTAAATGACATTTAAAATTAAATTAATGCTTTTGTTCTGAGTAAGTTCATTTCAGAAACAATTTTATTTTTAATCATTAAAATTATTTTTCATATTTTCTTAGTTTTTTTGCGTTATGATTTAATTCATAGACATAGTCATATTCATTGTTAGGTTTTGTTCGTGTACGTAAAAAATAACAGGCATTAATGAATATTGACTTATATTCTTATCGACTGAAGTAAATAAAATAACTTATATGCAGTATATTTTATTATGTATTAACAAGTGGCCGCATTTACAGCTTAGCATATAGTTTAGACCAACAAACATTACTCCGGCGGGTAAAATGGGTAAACATCGCAAACGTTAAACGCCGTAAATAGAAAGAAAATGTTCATTGTTATACTTAAAACTCTAATTATGAAGTAATGAACAACTGAAATAATGATCTTCGAGACTTAAATACTTCCTGGATCACTCTAAAAAGATAGCTAGAACTGTTCAGTTACATATGTGTTTTAACTCTTTGACCGCCGGTCATTGATATTATAGACGTCAATGTGATTGTAAAAGAGTATATTTTACTGTCAAATATGTATCACCAAAACTGCTTCCGTTATAAGTATTTTGTTCTTTACTTGTCAAGATCGCATAATCACATTTCAATAATTATGAGTTCCTGTAATGTCTAATCTCACCATGATGGTTAACATATGTTTAAGATGCAATGTAGTTGAAACAATCTGTGTTTTAATGGTTAGACCCTTGTTTAAACCATGTCAATTGTTCAATCACAATCAATTAAAGATCGTGTTTAATTTGAAGTGGGTTCAAATGTACAAAACATTTTTTTAATATAATTAATATAGAAAATACATCAATTTGAAGTTTTAATTTTGTCTTTTATCGATAATCCGCTTGAAAGTTACTCAAAGTTTTCGTGTTGTTTTTATTTCATTATAATTTTCGATTTTATTTTTTTTAGAGTTTCGTGAATTGAAACAATATATTCAAGTGCGGAAAACGTGAGGAAACTTTAATGTACCGCATTGTACTTTTATTTTATTTTCTCTATTTCTTCCATTATTTATAACAGTTTTGTTGCATCGTTCCACTTCTTTTCGTAACAAAAGTAAAAGGTATAAGGAATAGGTTTCAAGTGCCTCCTCCATATACTTTACTTGTACTAAAGTTGGCTATTGTTCTCTTCTATCCAGCCGTTTTCCTTTTTATGGCCCAACAGAGTCAGCGATTTTTCGAACAGTATTTTTAAGTTATATTGTACGTGCACCTTCTGTTCTAGCTGTAAACTTTAGTAAACGTCTATGTAACTTGTCTTTGTTTATACAAGATCAATTCAAAAACTTGCACACGAATTAATATAACAATCGCCTTTAAAAAGCTCAATGAGGAAGTTATATTTTGTGTGCTGCACGAAATGTCAATTAATTTCCATTGTCAATAAGTCTGGACATTGGTAATGTGCGTAAATTGAAACCGATAGCCGAGTGGACAAAAGGCCATCCGGACCGTATCTGGTCCTCTTGGCTTTCTTGTCTTTTTTCTAGAAACAGGAACTAAATGAGTTTTGGACGACCAATTCGATGTTTTTCCAATTATGTTGACATCCCTTTGTCCATTTAAAATATGAAACTGATCTGCATTTCTTTTATTTGTTGCAGATGACGAGACGCAATCATTTCTATCGCTTTTCTAACTTTTTGTCTAAATCTTAATTTTCATATAAATATACTAATAGGAAATGACATAGTCGACATACAGGATGTTATAAATATATGCGTATATCATTTAAATGTTAATTAATCTCCGCATTTCAAAAGAAAACCAACGTAGCTCAGAATTCTAAAACAATGGGCGGCGACACAAAGTACCAAAGTACGAATATAAAAGAAGTGTTTCGATTGTTCGCGCCGCGTTTATTTTGCTTTTGCAATTATTCTAACACATACATGCAATTATTACGTACGGCGTTCCGTAAATAGTTCGCCATAGAGATAATTTGTTACAACAAAAAAACAACTACATAACTAACTAATAACTACCTATTAAATTAAATAATCCTACGACATGTACAGAAAATAAAGAAAAATCTACATCGCGTGATCTTTACTTTTGAACTTTTATTTTGCTACCATTTAAATATAGAAAGGTAGCGTCCATGTCAACGAAAATTAAAATAGTAAGTAACTAAATCATTTTTATTAAAAGTAAATTGCACAATAACATAAAAAAATAAAATAACAGTTAAAACACTGTTATTTTCAAAGTGGCGTCGAAGCAAACGCTCCACAAATACCTAGATTGTGGTTTACGATTTAACAATCTAAGTTTAGAATTATAAACCAGATGGCTGGCTAACTCTTATAAAGAAATATTTAAACACTCCATTCGATTACGCGTCGAAAAAATAATCATTTCAATCAATAGAATTAAATAAATAACAGACACAATAAAACAAAAATAAAATCTACGCACATTTAGCATTAAAAAAAAGTTTCGCACAGAAATAATAAACACTTTAAAAGTCAAAGGAAAAGTTTAAAATAAGCGAAAGTGACTTACCGAAAGTTTTTGTTGGTGTGAATCGATGAAGTTGGCGCGAGTAGAGCAGTCGTAGCCGTCAGTCGTCTAGTTGCAGGTGCGTGCGGCGCGCTATCAATTAACTCGAACGAGTATCATCACGCGAATGAAACGGGTAGAAGCGGCGCGTAAACACCGCGAAAAGGCCGGCGCCGACGACGATCGCTAGCCGAATATCCCGAGAGAGCCTCGTGCACGAGCGGCTACGAGAAGCGCTTAGATCGATACCGGCGCTACCACGCTCCCTTTCGAGTACTCGACTAAATAGGGTCGGACGACAGTCCGCAGATGTCGTAAACTCTGTGTGGACCGAAGAAGACCTCTCGCGGCGAACGATGGTACGACTGTGACTGTGAGGCGGGCGAATGGATGAAACTACGAACCGCATTTCGTTTTAAACCGTGACGTAGCGGGGAGGCGCGAGGATCGCACGGGGCATGCGCACTGAGGAGTAGGCGCGGCGCGGCGCTTGCCGCTGCTGCCAGCGGTGAGCGCTCACCACGGATCAAAGCGGGCGCTGCGGCGCTGCGGTGCTGCGGCCGCGGCGCTTGGGCCCGGACCCGGACCTCTCGCCCTCACGCAATTCTCCGCTGCCGTCTTAACACACGCAACACCATCGATCATCGGCACGCACCACGACCTCCACACGACCAAATGGCAATGTTATATTAAATTAAACCTGTTTTGCATATTGTTAATTTTTTTTTTTTCATTTTTTCTCGAAAAAAAAAATTACGAAGAAAAAGAAACTTTGAAACAACTTATTATACTGCTTCCTAAAAAACTTAAATATTTACTATCATCACTTGTCGCTTTAGATCTACTCGAAAAATTAAATAATTTATTTATGCGTAGGAAATTTAGCTAAAACCATCATCGGGACAACGCCAAAAGTCTAAAAAAACGTCAAAATGCTAGCAAAAAAAGTCAAAAAAAAGGAAATACTAATGTTGACAATAGATATACAAAGGAAAATGTTATTACATAGAGTCGACAATAACTTAATGTTACATTTGCCGCCAAGATATATCTTTAAAATTTTTAAAAGCAAAAATAATTTTTTAAGTAAACATCCATTGTTGTGTAGATATAAGAAATTTAGTAACTCAAACAATGTCTAGTTACGAGGCATGTGTGTTCGGAAATTTTCAATTTGCAAAATAATCTAACGATACTCTATCGATGAAGACTACCCTATACTAGTTGGATATAGCATGCTAATTGGACATGTAATTCATTTCGTATTCAGAGTATAAAGTTTAAATACTTTAGTTACTTTACTTGATGGATGGATGGTAAAGATAGCGGAGATCGCTTTGAGCAATTTGTAGTCGTCGGCGATGGCACCAGACAACGACGCTCTTGTTAAGGCAGTGCAACTACATTATTTATTTACAAGACATGACTATGCGATAGAACTTAGTTTGCACACTGCACACCCGACAGTTTCCTTTCTACAACATCTAATAAGAAGGTGGAATATTTGCACTGTAAAAATTAAAAAAAAATACAACTTCAAACAATCTCTTTTTATAGAAATATGTTACTTTATTACTAGCTGTCACCTGCGCCTCCGTTGCGGGGAATTAAAAAAACTTTATTAGCCTATGTGTTCTTCCCGGCTACGTTCTACATCTATGCCAAATTTCAGCGGGATCCATGTAGCCCTTTATTCGAATTTATAATATTAGTAAGATATAATAGTTACGAGGGGAACAGGTGACTTTAATTTTATAGCAGTAAATATGTCATAGAATTGCTCGGCTATAAGTCACATTATGTTAGTTTTTGTGATGTACCGCATATTTTGATTTTTTTAGTATTATTTTTAAGTTAATTTTTAATATACAGAAGCAGTTCAGCAACATGTTAAATGAGGAAGTAATAGATATGTTTAATACGTTTGGTAGAAAATAACCAATGAGCCGCAGTTTCAGTCAATCTTGAATTAAAGAATAAAACGTACGTAAGCGCTACTTCTTACAAAAGAAACATCGAGTAGATAGTCGAACGTTCTTAAGTACAGCTATCATGTGTTCTTAGTCAGCAGAATATCTTTGAACCTTTTATTGCCTCTAAAAAGGCATAAGACCGCTTCCCTATGGTCATTAATTCAAATCGAAAACCATAAATTTTTGCCTTATTTTTATTTCATAACGTTCCTACCGAACATTTGGATTGTTCTAAATTCAAAATATTTGGCCTTTAAACATAAAGCATCTATATAGAATATCAACAAACATGTTTATCAGAAATACTTATTGCTACTTCAAAAACTTTATAAAACACCAGCAACAGAATAAAATAAGGCCATTCGTTAATTCCTGATTTGAATATAAGCCAGGATATGTGTGGTAATTGTGTATTCTTGTGGTTGGTGGTTATTTCTCCCTGACATACATACTTTAACCGTGTTTTCACAGCCGAAACACCTATACGAAAACATACTGATATCTCTGTTTTTCCAATAAGGATGAAAGGGCTGGCAATATTTTTGACAAAGGAAATTTACAATGACAAGGACAAATTCGTTATTATTTTACTTTACAATACTTTACGACACTATTATGTATCCGTTACATACATAGACCTTTCACCGAATTACATTTGTTCATTTATTTATTTCATCATTCAAAATAACATAAAATTAACTTTATGTCAATTACACGTCAAATTAGAATTACATTATCAGATCCCTGCTATTTCAGTTTGGTCCAAATTTACCAAAATAAATTGTCAAAAAACTCAACAGAAACAAGACCACATAATAAATGCAAAAGCCGTTGGTACATTTATATATTTTGTGTGAAGTATTCAGAATTTATTGCTATTTTTAAAGGAAAATGAATCGTGTACTAAATTACCTTCCCCCTTTGGTGAGGGTGTTGGCGCCGACCTGCCGTTACGCGGTGTGACCGCGTTCAAAATCGCAAAACACATTTTTTCTTTATATGACCAGGTTTGTCGAACGATCACACTCTTTTTAAATATTTTTACTGGTAGTAGGCCTAAGTTTAAAAAATCAAACACCTGCTTCTATTTACTTCTTTTCTACAAAAAACTAGCTTAAGTCCTCAAACCAGCCGCGCGGATTTAAAAAAAAAGAAAGTGATTAAAAAGTATCCTATGTCTGTCACCTGGTTGGAAGCAACCTACTCAAAAATTTCCAGACAAATAGTTTCAGCCGTTCTTGAATTATAAATAGTGTAACACGATTTTTCTTCAAGATAAATTAATTTAAAGATAAATGAAATTCATATATTAGATATTTAGATCCATTATGTATCTCACTGCATTTAGAATTGTACAAACTTATTACACGTTCCTTAATTGCATCGGATTAGGTAGCAGACGGCGATTGAGCGCTCGGCGCCTGGGCAAATATTTACCTTGTCTCGATTTCATTAACACATATCTCATTACAGAAAAGCTAATAAATGTATGTGCATCAAATAATAATTTTAAATAACGGTATTTATAAACAAGTTTTCAAAGTTTGTGTGGTGGTAGCGATTAGAAATTCGAGATGCACCCGTATGAGTTTTGACGCGCCAGTTTGAACACAGGCCGCGAAATGCGCTTACCTGTTTATCGCAGAACCGCAAACGACAGCTAACCAGTTTAGTGTCGGATAGAGTTGTACGCCTCACTTGCTCACAAAGTTCGGTTAAAAGCGACGTTCCGTAAATAATGATCATAATATATCTAGCTTTAAAGACAGTTTATCATTCGCTCTATGTGGATTGCAGAATCACATTAATATATCGAAACATAGTTAATACTACATAATACAATCTCATATTCTTTAAAGTCAAATCCGTTATCGTCTCTAGAGCTTATTCTTAATAAGAGTCTGCGCCTACTGAAGCTTGGTGATCAAGTCCCAACACAATATGAAAAGGATCGCTGCTATACGAACCATCGCATAGCGTACGATAAAGCAGGCTTATTTTATTATAGCTTATTCTTCGCATCCCAATAGGGGATAACTGGGAAAATTTGTCAAGTCGAGGAAAAAACTGCAACTAATTATATCACTTTTGTTTAGTTCCTAAGAAAAGAATTAAGTAAAAAAAAAGTGCAATCTACAAAAAAAAATTAACAAATTCAAGTCATAAGCTGACATCAATAAGCTATAATTTCCCCTTATGGTTATTACAGGTTTTCAATGTTAGCGCGTACATCCTGTTGTAACGTAGACACAGGGGCAAATACTAATCCCTAACTTCCCGTATCCGTTCTAAGTTTAACCGGTACTGATGACGGATTCGATCAAATCATGATAAACTTCCATACCTTCATATCTCTGTCTCAGAAAGATAATCGTATATTCTGGCATTCATATAAGGAATACTTTAACGTTAATGACAAATTAAAGTACAATATTAACACACACACAGTAATAATGTTTAAAAACTTACTGCCGGAAGTAGAGTTGTTTACAATTAACCGATACGACGATCATTCTAATTCTACGTTTATAGACACTTTGTGTAGCAGGTACGAGATATTGAAAGTTAATTTGCCCGATTTTCTCTAGGATTATGCTGTAGAAATTTACCGTATTTTTTTTAATTATTATTGCTGTCTAAAAAAAATACCGTTATAAATAATAACGACTAAATAAAACTATACAAAATACTATGCTAATAACATTTTATAAAAATATGAAGCGAATTTATATTTTGAAGCTCAAGTTAAAGTCTGAACAAAATTTAATTTTGTCGTAGCAGAAGTGCCTTCACAATGCAAATTTTCGTATATACTGCTGTAATGACATATATTCCCCAATATGCTACCACATCGTGTGCATAAAGTTTATTTTAAATTTGTATTTGTTTAAGAATATAAATTATTAAATTGCAAACAACAAGTAACAAAGCCTTGACGTATTGATTAAACTTATGCGTACTTTAACGGGGAAACTACAGAATCACATGAAAAACTATTGTTATACCTCATCATCATCATCAGCCACTGTAAGTCCCCACCGAGGGGCTCGGAGCCAATCCTTAGTTAAGGGGGATTAGGCCATAGTCAACCATGCTGGCCCAATGCGGGTTGCTTAAATTCACACATATCTTTGAATTTCTTCTCAGATATGTGCAGGTTGCATCACGGTGTTTTCCTTTACCGTAAGAACGTCGGATAAATGTACATATGTAAATCGGAAATCGAAAAACACATTGGTACATGGCGGGATTCGAACTCAGGACCTGCAGGTTGCAAGTCAAGTGCTTAACCCCAAAGCCACCGACGCTCTTTTTATCAAATACAACGAAAAGAAATTCGTTTTATCAAATACAATTTAAGGGACGACTATATGTTTTTGTAAAAGTGTATTGGCAATGGAAATCGTTTGTTTAATGTAAAGTTGGTTACAGTCTTTCTTTTTTGTAAATAAAAACCAACGTTTTCTTTACTAGACAGGTTTGAGAAACTGCAAGTTAAATATGCGCC